TTTTACTGTAATCATTAGATTATATGGATATCACAATTAAGCTCACACCTTTAATTGACACGATAATAGTTTCATAAAGATTGTCAATCATAGTTATGAGTTGTATAATGCAGAATGGTTGTGGAATATAGTATGGATAAACAACTTATAGAGGGCGATTAATAGGTTCAACTTACTCTTTTATTTGATTTTTGCCAAAATAAAAGTAAATTAATCACCTACAAAGTGATAACTTAAAGTGCAAGTAAGGTAAAAAGCAAAGGTTAGAGAGACACCGGGATTTTATCGAGGAAATCTAATTGGAGATATCCTCGAACAATCGACAATACATCGGAGATTGTCATACGGTTTCGAGCGAAAAGATCCACTATTTATGAAGCAAAGTACAATGGATTTCGACATAGGCTCACACTCTTTTGTCTTACCAAAACCAATTGTTGACCTTTCTTGGCTTTATAACTTCCCCGTTCAACAACTCTCGACTTAGGGCGTACTTTTGATTTCTATAGAAGGATCGTTTGCTTTATTAACCAACACTCCTTGAATGTTTTAATCCCTTTAAAGTATGATATTATCTTCCTTTTCGTAAATATCATAAATTTTGAAGTAGAAACACAAATCTGTTTGACAACAGGTAGCAATAGGATATTCAATCATGCAAACACTGATTGAACGATGAACAACCTAATCTACATAAGTGTATAGGTGTGTGCTCTAAAAAAAAAAAAAATTCAAATTCTGAAATTCACACAAAAAGGCTCTCTAGTCTTTTGAAATATTCAATATAAAAACCATGTAGAATTGTGTGTGAGTTAGAGTTTTATATAGTAGAATATTACAGAGGCCTAGTAGGATTAGAAAACCTTTTCAATTTCGGGTTAAAACATCATTCCAATTCAGATTGAAAAAGTATTAAAAGTTGACAAAATAAAATCTTTCCTTTTTGGTTCGGGTAAGTGCAACCAATTTTATTTTAGAGTGCAATCCGTTGGACTTTTTCATAGTGCAATTTAATTTGTGCAATCAGTTGGAGTGATGATCAGAACCCTAATCACATTTTAACCAATTTAAAACACACTCTAAGTAATCCTCACTCACCTACCTTGATTATTTGTTATTCATTATCAAACTGAAGTTGTAGTTAGGACTTTTACTTGAATTTTTCGCTACCGAAACCGAGACTCAACTAAATAGAAAAACACAACTCCATTTCAGACTTCTTTTGATTCTCCATTTCTATCTTATTTTAGCTAAAGATCAACTCAGGCAATATCATCTTCTTTCACCATCTTATTTGTTCTGATACTCTGATTTATGTTTATTTGTTAATATTGTGATTCAGTGTTGATAATATCAATTATGCTTTGAAAATTGGTAAAAGGTTAAGATTGATAAACTCGGCAATACGTTTAATTTTATTTAGTTTGGTCATATTTAATACTATAATTTTATAAATATTACAATAAGTAAGCAAGTTCACTAGAAATGTGTAAAATGTGCCCCCAAATAGAAAAAGAGGGCAGTATTTTAAATGACCTGGAAACATTTTGGGCAATATTAACATTATAAAAACTAATATGGTCTTATTGTTATTTTTGTATTTTTTTCTCATCCACATACAAAGTACATGAACATGCTGGAGTTATTTTATTATTTTTTTTTCCATTGCTTTTTTTTTTTTTCCAACATGCTGGAGTTATTGACTGTCACCATTTCAGCTGCTATTTCATGGCGGGAAAATGAAAGAAGTACGGTGCAGGTAAAAACAGTCTCTTTCTTTCACAAAATTAGAGAGAGAAAGTTAGAATTTTAGAGGGAGAAAGAGTCAAAAGAGGATCCTGGGGACGTCATTGACAGGACGGTCGTGTAGTGGGTGAAGCAATGATTATAAGTAGTAATGTAGGAGATTATGGCTATGAATTTTACCGCACGTGCCCATCACGTGTTTCCTCATCCTCGAAGGTATGATATTATGTGAAAATCAAAATTTACTATTGTTAGTGTTTGAAAATATTAATTTTTAAAAATTAAAATTAGAAAAAAAAATAGTTTTAAATTTAATATGTTTAAATTATTAAATAATTATTGGTCGTTCTGGCATTATTTAGTTATTATTATTTTTTTTTACTTTGCGTAGCATTGTTTAAATTTGAATTACGGTGAAAAAAATGAATTTTTACTGTCATTTACCACAGTATTTTTAAGACAGGTGAAGACAAATCCAATTTCTTCTCTTGGATCCCACTTAAAAATATGTAGGCAGTAATGATTGTACTTTTCATCATTGTTCTGTGTCAAATGATGCTGTGCAAACTTGTACTATTGATTATTCTAAAGTGAGAACATATTTTATCATCAAGTCAAAATAAGGTTGTAATTGCCATCTAATTGATTCATTAATTTGGGATTCAACCATTGACGTACACGTCATATTAAGAAATGTGAAAGTGAAAGATGCCTGTAACAACAAGTGGATTAAAATTTTAACCCCCAGAAAAAAGAAAAAATATATACAGTAACAAATACGACTTGTTTCTTTTTAAAGTGAAAATTGAAAGTTCAATTCCGTTAAAAAAAACAATTAAGTGAATGTGCATATATGAGCATTGACGGATTGGCGAATTTTTTTTGAGGAGGGCATTGTCGAAGAATAAAAAAAAATTATAGAAAAAAAATTGTTAAGTGGGGCATTTTAAAATTTGAGTGGGGGTATTTTTAAAATTTTAGATAATAATATAAATTAAAAAAAATTCAGTGAAGTAAAAATGTGGAGGGGGCATTTTAGAAAATTGAGGGGGCATTTTAAAAAATTTAACTAAAATTATAGTTAATAATGTAAATTAGGAAAAATCCAGTGAGGGCGTAGTCCAGAATTGGGTCCGTGCCAGTATGAGTCTATGGTAAGATGCAGGCTTGTTTCGTATGACCAATGAGTCTCAACGAACAATTGTAAATAGTTAAAATTGCATATAACAATACTATTATGCCGCGCTATATGATTGGAAAATTTTGGTTACACTTTGAAATAAGACTTACAATGACTTTATATAACAATCTCAAAAGGATAAGCACGATAAATGTATATTATCCTCTCAAATAAGGGGGGAGGGTAGTTGAACACAAGCATACCCATTTAGGGAGCTGAGCGCTCTACCAACTAGACCACTAAATAATACTCCATTATATGTGATTAAGGGGATATAAAATAGAACTGATCTTGCATTACGTATAAGCTCATCTAAACTCGAGAAAAAAGAGAGAAAAGAACCATTACTCACAAAAAGAAAAAGAAAAAAAATTGTAAATACTCGTTACAAAAAATATTTGTAGATATCTAACATTACTCAAAAAAAATTATGAATATAAGGAACAAAATAACTTCTAGATACAAGTGCATGTCCAGTCCAACCCAACATACATGTGCTCCTATAATATTTTGTGGTCTAGACGCTGGCCCTATATTGTGTGGGTTTATAAATGGTCTTTTATTGGACTACCTATTGGGCTTTAGTTTTGTCAATTACTTATTGATGAGATACATTAATGGTCCAGCCCAGAAGCCTACTACATAAAAGGCCCAGCAAATTCATCTTTTTTTTATTTATTTTTATTTATTTTTTATTTTTTTTATTTTTAATACAGGTTTCCAAGCTAACTTCTAAATTATTTTTCAAATTAAAATGATATTTCATTGATGTGCTTAAGGTTATTGTTCTTCACTTAATAAAGTTAATTATTTATTTTTACATTGACAAGAAGTTTTTCAGTTAATTAGCTGACAACTACTAATTTCTAACATTTATAGAAGTGCCTAATTGATTGATTGTAGCAACAATAATATGATCAGACCTTCGGGAATTATATATTGTATTGAATTGAATAGTATATCACGTACATAAAGCACCTATATATAGAGAGAGGGGTGAGAAATAGGTTAGATGCCTATTGATCAAGTTAGAGTAACGGAGTGATGGACAAATTATATACGTATAGCCTAAGCCCTAAAATTATATACAATATGATCTAACAGTAAAAAATTCATGAGTACCGAAATGGGTATTATTTGTTTAGATAAATTAATTATTACATTTTATCATACAATACCAATTATTGGTGACGTGGTACAGTGTGTATCATCCAATAAAGATTCAAACTGAAAAAAATAAAAATAAAATGCAGTGTAATTATTTCGTGCCTACTGTGGTCTCCAATAATTGACAGTGTTGAAAGTGGCTGCCTAGATGTAGGCCTTACCTTTGACATTATTTAAGCAAAAATGGTTTGTTTCTAAATAATTTTTAATTATTTCACTAATAAATTGCTCCCCAAATAAATTAATACATAAGAAAATGATCAAAATAAGAGTTTATATATAGAGAGAATTTAAGACATGAAAATTAAATAGGAGATAGTATCAAAAGATAAACCTTGCTATGGATTCTTATGTGCATGTGTTGTATATATCTGTATTTTAACAGCAAAATAATGTAAATATAAAATTTCTTATTCTCTTGATACACTTAATTGCCTGGACTAGTTTCCTGATCAATCAAAAAAGGCAAAAGAGTTCGAGTCTTTCTAATAGTATTACGATTATGCTCCGGGAGGATAAAAACAATTCAATTACCAACATTTAAGTCAAAATAGCGATGTTCAAAATAATAATAATAATTTATTTCCCCTAACTTCTATTCTCAATAACTTCAATATATTCATAATCATTTACCGTATATATCGCGCGTGTGTATATATATATATATATATATATATTCTAATCAACATGGACCAAGCTGTAGTTGGCACCCCAAGGACCCCAACTAGTGGTCTAGCTAGCTCCCAACAAAAAAAAAAAAAAAGGCATAAATGAGGGCTCACTAAGCAGCTAATGGAGAAGAGAATCTCATGATCTAGTCAGACCAACCTTTAAATTGCCTTTATTTAGCTAGCACCTACACTTTCTTTTTCTTCATCTACTCACCTTTCCTTTTCGCTACCCACTCTTTTCTAACTTAGTTTATTTTTCTTGTCTCCCAAGCACTAAACCTCCTTTATTCTCTGGGGTTCTACAAATCTCTTTTTGATACTGAAAACTCATATCAAAGCACTACAGTACTGTCCCTTCACATAAACATGACCATTCTCATCACTTGAGTTATCACAAACAACTCAAACTTTCATTCTAAACAAGAAGAAGAAGGTAGATATGGTTATGGTGAATGAGTTCAAATATGAAGAACTCGAAGAAGCAACCGAAAACTTCTCTTCTTCACGACTCATCGGTAAAGGAAGCCACGGATGCATCTACAAAGGAGTTCTCAAAGACGGCAAGCTCGTCGCGGTCAAGAAGCCATCCTTAGGCCTTGAAAAGCTTCAGGACAACTCCAAGCTCGAAAACGAAATATGTGTGTTGTCATCTCTACCTCAGAATCCATATCTCATCAACTTTCTCGGAACGAGTCATGACTCGGCCAGGAAGAGAGTCTTGGTCATGGAGCTCATGCCTAATGGCACACTTCATGACTTGCTCCATGTTGCATTTCCACCACCACCGTGGCCTAAACGAGTCGAGATTGCCGTCCAAGTAGCTCGGGGAGTGCAGTTGCTGCACGAGGCCAAGCCAGTGATAATCCACCGGGACATCAAGTCTGCCAACATTTTGTTTGATTCGAACTGGAACGCCAAGTTGGGAGATTTCGGGCTTGCTCTGAGACAAAGTTGTGCAAGTGAGCGAGTTGACTCGGTGAGTCAACCCGCCGGTACTATCGGGTACTTGGACCCTTGTTACACCACACCATGCAAATTAAGCACGAAAAATGATGTGTTTAGCTTTGGGGTAGTGTTGCTTGAGATCATTAGTTGTACGAAAGTGATCGAGGTTTCTAGAGAACCCGCTTCTATTGTCGAATGGGTATTGCAGTTGATTGAAGAGCATCGAATGTCGGACATTTGTGACAAAAGACTTGCCTTACCATCGTATATGGAGAGCACGATACAAAGTATGTTACATATCGCATCACGTTGTGTGTTGTTAGAGGAAGATCATCGTCCGTCAATTGGAGAAATTGTAACAGAGATGGAAAATTGTATAGTTGAAAGAGTTCGATTTCCAATTTGGACCAACATTTTTCATAGCCTTATTTTCCTGAACAGGAAAAGAAAAAACACCAAAAAGCAAAAGAATAGCCCCACCACCACCATAATATGTGCATCACATCATGCAAAAGTTCATGATGATATTTCAGAAAGAAAGCTGCTAATAAGGGATGTATTGGCTGACACATTAGAATGAAATGAGCAAGTATAGGTCTCATGGTGAGTCACTTAATTGTAACTCAGCTGAGTCACCCAACTCGGGTGAGTCAAAGGTCAGCCTGCTCCTTTCGAATATAAAAGTTAGAAGTTGAACAAGCAAAGCAAGCACTCCAAACACAAGATTCCCAACAGTTGGTGGCAGTGGGAATATATAACAAAGCTTTGTTTGATGCCCTGTCATTCCATGCTGATGGTTAAATATTTCTCTTCCATCCCTTTACTTTGGGGGGCTTTGTGTTGGTGCCCCTCCATTTTACTATATTTTCACTTTGTCCTCATGTATAATTACATATGTTTCATAAATACCCAACGCATCAAGTTTTTGGATATGTAATCTTAAGATCAATTGGTGGAAACCATTGCGAGATCTGACTAATCTCATTTACCATATATCATGGAATGTAATTTTTTTTTTTTATTTCTTTTTTGTTCTTTGCTGTTATTTTTGTCTTTCTACTCTGTTGTGGCACAGTGGTGCTGTCACATCGGACGGATTTCAGTTCACACGTGCGAAGGTTGAAATTTGTCCAACACGGAACAATATCACTATAGATGACCCCAGCTCCAAAGTAATAGTATTTATTTATTTAAGAAATGGGAATTTATTTCAACCTCATAAAATTTGATACAATTGCTCGCAAACCACGCATATCATATAAATTCAGATATTTTTTTGTGTTACGTGAGAGTCAAACTTGAGACGTCCAAATTATGACTCGGGAAATTTAAATTGCCTCAAAAACATAGGGTGTCAGTGCAAATACTCTACCAATTCAAAAATTTACAGTGGCTTATATATAGTATAAGCAAGGGGATCAATTAAACAAAAAGTTTATAAGTAAACATAATACTAAATGATTACAATATAAAAAAGTTGTTCTCTATTCCATGAACAAACCTAACTAAAATAATGTTGAATTAAAAAAAGAAAAAGTTAATGGACAATTTATGTGTGGATTATTCCTTGGAAACAAATATAATAACGGGACAATATTTTTATGACAAATTAATGTGTGGATTATTCCTTTGGATTTGTAAGTTGCATAATAAGACCAAATAATCATCAATTAACAAATTGGACCGACGCTGAAAATTTCATGTATAAAATAAAACAGCTATAAGTCTGCTTAGGTAAAAAGTCTATCCAGAAAAGAAAAGAAAAAGAAAAAAGAAAGTCTATCAACAAGACAATTGGGACTAATGCCAAGACAATTATTGCAAGCAAGTAAATCAAATCGTTGTTTAGTCAAGAAGTGGTGTCCAATCTCAGTCTAACTTTTAACTCGGTGATTTATCTGGTCTATTGTTTAATTTACAGGCTTGTAATTCTCATTTGCAGTATGTGTTAGTCCTGTATACATATAATATATTATTTAATACAATCAAAATAAGTACCATATGAAATATATATATATATATATATATATATATATATATATATATATATATATATATATATTCTAAAATATTGTTGTGAAAAAGATGCTAGATATATATATATATTTTTTCTGGAACTTAGATCATGACAATACCCACGCGATTTTAAATATGAAAAGAGAACACATTAAATATAATACAATAACAATTTAATGTAACTTCCAGGTACGATCGGTATTCATTGGTGGTTTGGACTCAAATATAAATACATTCGTCCGAAAAGTCGGACACAAACTAGACCATTTAAAATAAAAAATATTGATGAAAGATGGGAAATATTGATGAATGAAAGAAGTTTGATAAGAGAGGTTTAGTAGTGTGTCGAGACTAGAGAGGGAGAGAATATTAGGAATGATAATTCGTGTTGGCGTGTCGTGTTCGTATCGACATGACACGATTAGGGTCGATACGAACATGACACGATTAATCGTGTCTAAGGTCATTGACACGAATACGACACGATTATTCCATACGTAACACGCTACACATAACTTATTTAATAAATGTGTCAAGACTTGATAAGATACGAAAAGACATGTTTAAGTCATTTTTTACACAAACACCATATGTTTATTCTACACGTTTAGTTAAATGAGTTATTTTTTACACAAACAACACACGATTAGTTAATCGTGTCATAATCGTGTTTAAAGAGTCAAACACGAACACAGCATATTTAGTTTGCGAGTCAAATCGTGTTGACACAATTACAACACGAACATAATTAACCCAAACATAATTAACCCAAACTCAAACCTCTCAAATTCTCTTATTATATTAATCTGTCAAATATTGCCAACCAAGCGGACATAAGCTTTCAATAAGAAGAGCAACCTTAAGTGCTAACCTAGCTATTTATGGGAAATAGAGCCCAACATCTATTTTTGCAATAAAAGATATACTAGTATATAATAATAATAATAATGATAATAAAATTTAAAATGTATAATGATTGGGCAATCAGATGATTTTGGTCCTTTTCTAATATAACATGGTGATTGGAAAGTATGAATTATTATACATCAAAATGTTAAGGAGAAAGCATGAATGATGCTTATTGGAGAGAGAATAAGAGGGAGTAGATTTTGGCGGTGTCAATATCAACATAATAAAAGGAAAAATCTATATATGCATTCTCAAGTAGAGTGACATTAATTTTTATAGAAGGTAAAAGACATATATTGAGGAATAGGGTTATTAGGAATTATTTTAGAATTTTAATATTATTAAGAGAAGAGTAAAATTACAATAGTAAATCAAGGCAAGAATTATGATTTAAAAGTCCAAATAACTAGAAAGATTACTAAAGTAGAACGTCAAAATTAAAGGATGTATTCAGTGATTTAAGAGTGATACGAGTGTATGAATTTTTACCTGAAAATAAGAGTTTAGGACTTATTTAATTTGGTGTTACTCATAAAATAGTTCTAAAAAACGAAACAGAAAAGACACATTTCTTTTAACTGAATTTTTTTGAGACGGTTATTGGAAACTATAAACCAAATAAATTTTTTGTACAGTATTTTTATTTTAGATAAAAAAATAAAAAAAAAACCAGAAAATTGAACCATGGAGTAAAGTGAAAGCGCCAAGGTAATTAAAAAAAAAATCCACAAAGATTTGGACCGCCCGGTTTGATAGTTTTGACCCGGCCGTTTTATCTATGCGTACGCAAGGACCACAACCCGTCTGAGAAACAACACCAGACTAAACCGACATGAACAGATTACCACCACTTCGCTCACCTGACCTCAGTTCCCAAATCTCTCTCTCCATTCTTGAAACCCTAATTCTAATCCCAACCCTAAGCACCAAAGATTCACCAATTACCGGGCATCGTCGTGTATAGAAAAATTAATGGAGACTCACACGGACCACAATCTATTTGAGAGGCGACCCATCACCAAGTCAAAGTCTCCTGCTGTCAAATGGTTCAAAGAATGGTAATTACCTTCATAACACCATCTCATGTGCATATATATTCATATATATATATATATTAATATATGTCAATATATGTGTGTTGTTGTTGTAAATTGTTGCTGTTTCTGTTTGGTCGCTGAGAAATTTGTGGAAAAAGAATTGAATTATTATTTTGAATCTCATATTTCTATGTTGTTTGTCTTATTTGAGGAAAAACCCTTACCCCACTATCTTGATCTTCAATCGTGCAAAAGAACTTTGAATTTGGTACCAATGTGATACGCATGAAAGGCACTGATGATTTTAAGTCAGCAAAGTTGGGAAGTAAAGGAAGTTAGAGAGTGTTTAGGGTTTCATAATAATTGTGCAAATAAGCAGCATTGTTGTCCATCCCTCTCTGCAATCTACTACAAGTATTAACATCTTATTAACCTTAAGCATGTTTGGCGTTGCGGTTGGATTGGCTAAAAGCACTTTTAATTTGAAAATTCACCTTATACTTGTGTTTGGTGGGAAAAAAAAGAGGTAATATTTAATTGTAGAGATTTTTGCCTAGTGGACCTTTGAGCCAAAGCTCAAATTTGGAGTTTCTTGAATTGGGTTTGCAAATAGTGGTAAAGATTTGTAAAATGAGTCTATTTTGGAAAGATTATGTTATGAAAAGTGCTTTATATATTGCATTGCCAAACACTACTTGCTCTTCCGCGTGTAGCAGTTTTTTTAACCACTCTGGATAAAATTTTATTATAAGTCTCAACAACGCCAATAATGCATTTTCTGTGCTAAGGCTTCCCATTTTTGTGGTGCTTTCATGGTTGCTATTGGTTCTGTAGTTATTGTTATGCCTTAATGATCATGAGAAATCTGTTTATCGCATTGAACTATTGTGGTTTCATAATTTCAAGCACAAAGAGGGAACTCAGAGTTTATGTGAAACCAATTCCAAACAGAGAAGAAAATTGGCTAAACTGATCTATAACCTTTGAGGGCGTTGCCTCTAAACATGTCCTATGAAGGGGCAGAACCTCCTTTTATGGCTCATATATTGCACATCTACTCTATTGAATGCAAATCTATGATATTTTTGAACTTAGCGTATGAATATTTGACGCAAATTGTTAATCTATATATACCTAAATTCAATTGAAATTATAGCATGTGTCACATGCTATGTCATCGATAGAAAAAAGTATACCTAGGAGAGAATGTCACATGAGCTGGTACTTTCTCCCTGATCACATGCACACAAAAAACACATGCATACTGTTCAGTCCCTTAAAGAATTAAACCATAAAAAGCACTCTGTTTAATTGCTTTTGTACTATATCCTTACATTATTATGAGCTTAATGTGGGGACCTTGCTAAGAACTTGATCTTTGTTCCTTTTGTAGGGTGCCCCAAGATGTTGTTGCAACTGGTGGGAAGTGTTTGATCATGAAATGGGTCACAGGTTAGTTATAATTGCTTTACATATTTGATATAGAAAAATAAATACCATTGTTCCAATCTCTATTTTGTGAACTTGAAAGCCCAGCATATTGCATAGCTTTAAGTAGACCCCACTCAATTAGAGATGATTTGAACTTTTATTAGGAAACACTTTTTGGTTTTTCTCCCTCCTTGGACCATTGATCAAACATCAAGTCTTAATCTTAGAAGCCTCGAATTAAATCTATCAATTTGTGGACAAGGTCATAAGAACTAAACCCTATTGGAAAAGATATGATGAAGCAATTTAGATAATTTTACAAAACATATGCATATGTAAATAAATGTATTTTGACACTAAGAAGCTATTACATGGTTGAATCACAATCTCATCAATTAACTTGTAATAAATATATGTGGGTTCAATCGCACATAACTCCCTTATACTATCGTTTTGTTGCACATTACATCCCTGAACCATGCTTTTGGCAGATTATTCATTGATCTACAAAATGTTCAATCTCATCACATTGCCTTTGGCAGTAAGGTAAATGATTATATTGCCCTTATGTAAGAGAAATATTTTAAGGGTTAATTGTACATAACCCCTCTATACTATCATATATATTTTTTTAACCCCCCGATCTATCCGCTGTATTACGTTTTTGACAAATTAACCCCCTGATCTACAAAAATAATTGCTTGTATACTAAACTGTTTCTTCAAAGACATATATATATATATAATGTTTTTAACTACAAATATAAACTACTATAGTAAAATACTAAAAAATAAAAAGAAATTATTTTCTCTTTCCATTGTGCTTTTGGACTCCAAAGATTCCACAAATGCAAATTGAATAATCCTAACACGTTCGGCCATACCTTACTTGCCAAACCTTTATCATTTCTCACCGATGAATTTTGCAAACCATTACCATCATCCTCCTCAACCTTTTCATCAAATGGTAGCACCACAAGGGAAACCCTTTATGTTGAAATCACAATGAAATTGTCCTCAATCTCTAGCCTACTTAATTCACTCTCCAGTGTAGGCATATTGGATACATTGACCAGTTTTCCTATAGCTCTAAACATCGCTATATGTATTTGGACAATTATGTACTCTTACAATTCTCAATAATATTCTAATATATAATATTTTTCTTACATAAGGACAAGAAATTCATTATCTTCCTGCTAATGGTCATGTGACAGGACTGCACTTATGTGCAATTATTTTTGTAGTTCAGGGATCATCTGCCAAAAATAGGAGTGGCAATTCGTGTTGGTGAGTCGTATTTGTGTCGTGTCCACCTAAGAGTATTTTGTTAAGCAGGTCAACCTGAACACGACTACTTTAATAATCATTTCTTGACATGCACACGACCCGTTTATTAAACGGGTAACATGACACGACCTGTGTAACCTATTTAATAAATGGGTCGTGTACACACAACACGACACAACCTGTTTAATAACCTATTTAACCCGCTTAGGTTAAATGTGTCATTTAATCTGTTTATTAACTTAAGTATAAAACCTGTTTATTAACTTAAGTAGAAAATACAAATATAATGGAAAATGACATAATGAAGGACTAAATTCATGAAAATGAGGGTAATGGGACAATATAATTAAAAAAAAAAAAAACCATATCCGTCTTGAATTATATTAATAATAAAAAAAATTCATGGTAATCGAGTTAAAACATGTTACGAGTTAACCGGATTGAGCTGACATAATCAATTAAACGGGTCTAATCGGATTAAACATATGAATTCCAAAACACGAATATGACACGATTGATTAAACAGGTTGATAGAATTATGACACGAACATGTCAATCCAACCCAGCTAACTTCGTGTTGTGTTGGCGGGTTGTGTCAAATTTTGCCACCTGTAGCAAAAAATGCAGTATAGGTTGTGTAATAATAAGATAGTGTCGTATGTGCAATTATTCAATGTAAAGAGTAAATTGTCATTTGAAGCATATAGCATGTCATGTGCAATATGCGTGACAGCATTTTGTTATAATAATAAAGGCTCTATAATGGTAGGGGAGCTGCTTGCAATTTTTTTTTGTAGATTAGAGGGTTATCTGCTAAATTGCAGGACATGGGTAATGTGCAACAAATGACAGCACAGGGGGGTTATGTGCAATTAACCCTATAATAAATATATTTTGACAATAAAAAGCTCTAACATGGTTGAATCACAATGTCATCAAATAACAAAACCTAGCTAGTAGAGATACAAAAGAGGGAGAATAGAGATACGAGGAATGCAAGGTAATATATAAAAAAGAAAAAGAAGAAGAAGAATGATTAAGACAAGAAAAACAAAAAAACAAAAAAAATAAAATAAAATAAAAACAAGAGGAGTGGACTAGCATCACGTGCTTTTGAGCGCTACTCTTGCCGCCAGCAGTTGCTCGAGTTGGGTCTAGAGGATGTTGGATTGTAATGTGAAAGAGACTGTCAGAAGCTTAAAGACATGGACAGTAGTAGAGCCCTGAAAACCAAGAGTTGGGATGTTTTATGTCGGCCTATTGAGTTGGATGATTCTGAGCTAACAGGTTTTAATATATATTTTTTTAAATTACTCAAACTTCCAAGGACACGACCTGAAGCCAAACCCAATTCTATGGGATTCAAATACCGTAAAACACTTCCTATTTCAGTGGAAAATTCGAATTCTTAAATTAGATTTGGATGTCTCCAAATTTGCCCCCAATTCCAAGGCTGATTTCATTGGACAGTCATAGCCTGAAGTTAAAAGAAATAAAATTGATTCCCTTTCAGAGTTGCAGATGCTTAGCCTAACGTTAAATTTAGAACTATGTGCACACTCTAATAATAACTTCATATGAAGTGTTGAACAAACTTTAGAGATATAGATGTATTTTACTCTGAATAAAAGGCACTAAAAGTAAAATTTTGTTTATTTTAGAATGCTTGAAGTAGTTAAAGTAAATCAGGAAGGATCTTGTTTAGTTACAATTTCATTTGTGGCAGTGAGGGGGAAACCGTTCTTGTTGTCTCTTCTGTAAACTTGTTGATGCATGGAAGCCTCGTAGATTTTATTATCTAGGAGATTTCTATTTCTGAGACTATCTAGGTATTCTACTCTTCTTTGTTTTTCAATTACTATTGTTTGGTTCCGGTTTCGGTTCCAAAATGAGGAACCATTATTTTGCGGTTCCGGTTCCGGTTCCAAAATGAGGAACTGTTATTTTACGGTTCTGGTTCTGGTTCCAAGTCCATTGGAACCGAAACGAACCGTAAAATACATATATTTATATATATACATATATTGCAATATTAATAAACAGTATAATATAACATTTGTCACAAAGATAAAACTATACACATGTACACAACAATATGTAATTTAGACTACACACAAAGATAATGCTACTCTCAAATGGTTTTTTACTTCTAAATTTCTTATTTATTGCAAAAAAAGGGGATAATAGCTCATTTGCTTTTAGATTACAAATATATTTTATTTCTTGGTTGAGAAGTTTATTATCGTAATTTCCGAAAAAAAGTTTATTATTGTTCATTTGTTGTATAAATTTTGTTTGCTTTGATAAGCCATATGATAAATCCATATTGTTGGTAGTGAGTTATTGAGTTTTTATTTTTTATTTTTTTTAAATGTGGTTCGGAACCGGACCAAACCAGCCAAACCTTTCACGGTTTGGTTCGGTTCGGTTCTAAGCCTCAACGGTCTTGGTTCCAATTTTTTAGGAACCATTGGAACTGGTTCGGTTCTGATTTAACCTAGAACCGTACCGAACTGGACCATGTACACTTTGGCTAGAGGTGACATCCTTGGCTCAATGCTTCCAATGTTTCTTGTTAATCACGAAATAAGATGAGTTCATTATTTATTTATTTAATTTTAACTTGTGATAGATTTGTCAGTGGATATCTTTACTTGGTACTACTATAGAAGTTCAGGCTGCCAAATGTGTGAGTAAGTGCTTGAGTAGGAGAGTAGTCACTTTGTGTAAAAATCACTCCCAATCTGGTCTACTCCTCCAAGTGCAAAACATAGGTGGGGCCAACACTTGATAGTGGCTTTCATTGGGAATCTGTCAATCAAATATTTCCAAATAGTCTTGGGAAAATTCCATCCTAGTCCTACTTTTCAACCCTAAAGACAACTAAGTTCTAAATGTTTTTGATTTGGACCAAGAAGTCCTATTTTCAAATTTGTTTCCAAATTAGTTCAAATATATACATTTGAACAAAGGTACCCTTATTAGTACCGATCAATAATCTTCTCTCTCAAATTTTAATGGAGCATGAAAGAAGCCAACCCGTCCTCTTGATGGTCGAGCTTTGTGCTATGGAATCAGGAGACAGGTCAAATGTAAGCTAAAACTCACGAAGCCCATATAAGATTAGAATATACATACATACATATGTACATACATATATATATATATAGTTTTACAACAGATTGCACAGCTCCAGCGAACCAAGTTCAGTCCGGTGTTGCTGCAATGGTCACCGGAATGGATGCCATGGTCACCGGAATCCATAAACTCCGGTGAACCAAGTTCAGCCCGGTGTTGCTGCAAGACCCACCTCTACGCAACTCGTTCAATGAGCTCACGATTGGCTTGAAATTCCGGTGACAGTGAACCCACTTCGGTGACCATCTAGCAAGCTCACGTTGCTTGCAACTCCGGCAACGTCGAACTCTCAAGTAACAGTAAGCTCACATTGCTTGCAACTCCGGACCAGCGAACTCAGAAGAGAAGCTTCCATTGAAATCGGCAAGCATCCTTCTGTTCGGTGCATTCCAGTTCCACCGCGAGCTTTGGCAACCATCAACTCCCTAGAGCCAACTTCAGACCCAGCTCCGAGAAAGCTTCAACTCTGATGTACCTCCGTAGTGCCAACCTCTCAATGGTCGGTATGAGTCGCCTGCAATCCTGTCATTTAGTCGCTGACGAAGAAGAAAAATGATGATCAGAGATTGAAAGGATTGAGAAATGGGGTGGAGCTGGGCAGCGGGTGCTGGTCCTGCTGGAGGGATGGGTAGTGTTTATGGTGGTGATGGAAGTGGTGGGGGAGGTGGCGGCGGCACGTTTGAGAGAGAAGATGATTGAACAGTACTTAAGAAGGGTACTTTTGGAAAAATATATATATTTGGACCAATTTGGAAACAAATTTGAAAATAGGACTTCTTTGTCCAACTCAAAATATTTAGAACTTAGTTGTCTTTAGGTTGAAAAGTAGGACTAGGGTGGAATTTTCCCAATTGTCTTCTATATGGTTAAAGTCCATTTTCTTGCAACTACTCCTTTAGGTTTGGTTGTCTTTCAATTTGATTTGGCTTGTAGTGTAGCATTGTATTTTGTGAAAAGAGTACTTTGTGGTAGACGTAAATTGCATGAGGATTCTTGTGAAGAATTCTCTTGCTGATCGCGTTGGCCATTGAGCACTGTGGCAAGTTGGGATCTGGTAGGTTCATCTTTGTGAAGAAGTAAAAGGAGAATTGTTATCTCAAGTTTACTGGAAGTGGACATTCGTAGAGTTCACAGTTAGAGAAATATATGAGCTCCACCTGGCAGAAGGCTAAAGATTTTCTTCTTGACGTGTATGCAAGTCTCTCACAGAAGTTGACAATCTTTCAGGATTAAGTGACCAGAATTCCTGATTTCGACCAATCAAAGTTTCAGTTTAATGTGGTGTTTTGCCTTTTCCTAAATTATCAGAAAGATCTATTTTGGGGTTTATATAGAGTTTAGAATTGTAGTAATCAATTCTTGATAAGACGTATTGCTTTATCTTTTTGTCCATTACGTTGTTGGCTGGTTTTTTTATTTTTGTTTGGGTGTTGTTGAATTCCAAGGAATTGGGTCAAATATTTCGGAGAGTTTCATATGTAGAAATTTGATATGTGGAAACAATAAAGAAATCAGATTGTATGAAATGATATAAACATTAAATTTTGACACACTTCTTTGCTTTCCTTCCTGCTATGAAGCAATCGAGCTGCAAAAAGGTTTGTATCTGAAGGAGACTTTAGTGCCCAGTGTATAATTGGATTTTGAAGTATTTTACTCTTCACTTTGAGCAATATATTGTTCCTGATGTGTTGTGGATTTTTATCTATTCTTATTATTAAATTATGAAGGAACTTAATAAACTAAAATAACCGATGTATTGGATGTTTAAGTCTTATGGTTTGTAGGGTCATCTTGGACTAATATAGTACGGTTTCTAATTGAGTGTCTTGTGCCAACTTTCCCTTTATTGCTTTGTCATTCTGAGTTTCACCTTTTTTATTTTTATTTTTATTTTTAATTCTTGCCCTGTTTCTCTCAGAGTCAACATTGAAGGCCATGAAAGAGAAGGAGGTCAAAGAGCCGGAGGTTGCAGCAGAGCCAGAACCAGAGCCAACTACTGAAGTTCTTTTCCTTTGTAGCTTTGAAGGCTGTGGAAAGACGTTCATTGATGCTGGAGCTTTGAGGAAGCATTCTCACATCCATGGGGAGAGACAATATGTTTGTCATTATGAGAATTGCGGAAAGGTAATGTTTTTAATGTATTTCTATTCTCTGGTTAAAGGGTTTAGATTCACTGTACTGCTTCTAGTAACAAGCAATAAAAGATAATCCCATCTTACAATATTGTAATTTCATCCGATTACCATTAATATTAACTAAAGGTGTTTATTAAGATAGAAATCACTAGAAATTTTTTTAAAAAGAAGAAGATTACAAAAAAAAAATAACTGTAAGAAGGAAGAGAGGTTGATAATTATATGCTTCATGCAAAGTGTCAGCAGGCAAACGGAACTTCTTCATCAACACTTGTGAACCCCGTGTAACAAATACTCATAGGATGATGTGTGGTAACAAAAGAATCGATAAAATTAGAAATATTTATGTTCATGTAAAGGTTGAAGTGGTACTCTTTGGAGATAAAATGAGAGAAAATCTACTAAAATGGTTTAGACATTTACAACTGATCAATAACTGCACCTGGGAATCAGAGGAACGTGGACAACAAAATTAGCATGGCTTTCGATAGTAAAGAAACATATAATTGAGTGTGGTTTAACTGTATGGCCTTGGAGAAGAATGATGAAACATGATTCACGTAGCCAATCCAAAATAGTTGGGACAGGGTTTTGTTTAGTATCCAGACACCATGAGGAATTTAGTATTATGGTGCTATAGCTATATTGACTACGTGGGATAGGTAGGATTCCTCAGCCTCCTGTCCTTTACTTTAACTACTAGTTGTTTTATATGCATTTTGTAGTTCCCTCTGAAAAAACCACATTGATAATTTATTTTATCAGATTCTAAAATCAATTAATTAAATAGTCAATTTACTAAACCTGAACACTACCTTAAAATGTGCTACATTGGGGCATGTTAAAGTCGTTTACGCTCCAAAATATGCCCGGTCTTGTCAAGGCTCGGTAGAGTGCCTCAACCTACTGCAGGCCGAGACTCTTCCAACCATTCTCACGTCAGGCTCATGTTTTTCAGCAGCTCCGGGCTAGGAAAAAAAAAAAAAAAAAAGCCCCTTATTATTGTTATTATTATTTATTGTCCTTCATTTCGTTTTCTTTGTTTTTGATATGAACATGAATCCACCAACTCTACATCAAACCATGTTCATTTTCCCTAACAATGTTTAATCTTATTTATGTTTGACGGAATTCATAAGCTCATGGGACTACTTACATTAAATGCGTCTTGTGCTTGATTCTTGATTTTCATCATAATATAATACATGTTTAAATGACATGATTATTGCCTTTTATTGTTGCATAATTATAATGGTATTTGATTTAGTGAAATCATATGCTTATCAAAAGGATTTATGTGAAATTTTTTTTTTTTTTTTGGCGCCCCCCTTGAGCTTTTAATAATTATGCTGTTGGGGGAAAATGAGACAAGTTTGGGAGGTGTAAGATCCTGAGGAATTTCTTAGATGTTAGCAACAATAAAGAATTGGTTTCACAAGATGGCATCAATATACTTCAACAAAGAATGTGGACAAGATAACCTATTTGATGTCTTGGCCTGAACTAAAGTTGAGGTACTGATCTGCCAAAAGAATATGTAGATGCAGACTGTGATTGGTTTAGTCTGGTTGTGTTATAGACAGGCCAAAGTAGCATCTTCTGAAAAGCATTTATAATTTAATTTTCGCTTCACACTTCATATTCCCTTCTCTATTTCTCCCCTTGCTGCTGGGGCTTATTAAGCAGTACTGAATGAACTTTGGGCTTATGTTGCAGAAATTTTTGGATAGTTCAAAGCTGAAAAGACACTTTCTCATTCATACAGGGGAGAGAGATTTTGTCTGCCCTCATGAAGGCTGTGGTAAGGTGATCTTTCTGTCCATTCTAAGAATTCTATTATATTTTAGCATGATTTTTTTTTTTGCTTTCTTTCAAATTTTGATTTTTAATGTTGAGCTTCACTTATCGGGGAAAAAAATGTTTAATGTTTGAGTTTTGTCAGGAAGCTCAAGACTATACTGAAGTTCTTATTTATTGCTTCAATTTTTGTTATATCATTTGCCAATATGAATAATGCAGGCTTTCTCATTGGATTTCAACCTAAGGTCACACATGAAAACCCATTCACAAGAGAATTATCATATCTGCCCTTATCCAGACTGTGGAAAGAGATATGCTCACGAGTATAAATTAAAGAATCACATCATGTCGCACCATGAAAAGGTTAGTACTTCCATTCACAATCTTTCATAGTTGATATCCGTAATTCAGCTTCATTTTTGTTTTCAATTGGGAAAGAAAATCATCTTTTGCTGGTAAGAGCATCTGATATACTGTACATTGTGGAACAATAACATTTGTTCATAAATTTCAATTTTTCACTTGCAATTGAATAAGAAAAATAAGTCTCAAAATGTGTTTTTTTGGCTAGCAAGTAAGTTGAATTCATTATGGATATGAACAATGATACAATTGAGTTCAAATAATTTGCAAGACAACCAAACACTTTATAATTGTGTAATAAGATCTAAAGGCAAGGACTGAGTATATTTGTTTGAATCTAAACTCTTCAATCTCGACCGCATAATATGGGTCTGATTTTCAGTTACATCAAAACTTCCCACAGAACATGGTGGAGGTGCCAAAGTATGCCCAGCCTGCAGAGAAGGTTTCTAAAACTCCAAAATCTACTGCTGCGTCTTATGGCTCTGGATCATCTGACCGTCCTTACTCCTGTCCGTATGAAGGGTGTGAAAAGGCCTACATTCACGAATACAAGCTGAACCTTCATTTGAGGAGAGAGCACCCTGGTCACTTCCCAGAGGACAATGCTAAGAATGCCCAACCTAATGTTGATAATGAGATGGATGAAGCGAGCGACCAAGACGCTTATGCTGGAAAACGTGGAAATGGCAAAAGTCAAAAACAGAGCAAGCCCAAGCCAAACTTGAAGATGCCTCCTGCAAAAAGTGCTCGCAAAGGCTCAAGTGCATCTCCTGCCAATATAAGCGTTGTGAAAAAACCATGGCCGGTTAAAGAAGTATACGAGGAAGAAGATAGTGAAGAAACTGAAGAGGACCGTGATAATGTTGAGGATGGGTGGAGGTACGCGGAGAATAATGAGGATGATGATGAAGAAACAGAGTATGAGGACTAAGATTAAGCGTGGTACTCTCCATTTGTCCCCTTCCCCTCTTCATTTTTTTGTATTTTTACGAGAACTTCTTTTACTCCTTTTAGGAACAACAGTTGAATCACTTCCTTAATATAAAGTAGTCTATTTGAAGCTTCTAGTGCAATTATCTCTCTCTGTCTGTGTGTGTGTGTCTCTCTCTCTCTCTCGTACATGATCTGTTCATAATCTTACCTTGGTGATCGACAGCTAGAAATTTGTATTAGATTTTTTTCTTTTCCATAAGCCTTGTATTAGATTTCTTTAGGGTTGTCACGGTCGTGATTCGGCTTAATTTATCCAAATTTGATTTGAAATATTTCAGAAATTTGATTTGAAATATTTCATGAACTGATCCGATCCGATAATCCCACAAATTTGTTTATTATTGAATTCATATCTAACTTGCAGTTTATCCAATTCGATCCGAAGATCCATGGAAAGGTTTCTTATGTAATTATAAATATAGAAAACCTTTAATATTACAGCTTATATATGAGGTCTACAATAAGATTATTATTATTACTGTATTATTTTTTTCTTCTTGTAAATAAAAAGAAAGGAAAAAAATGGGCGCATGATAAATGTTGCCCTTAATGATATCGGGAGAAAAGTTGCGGGCAACAATCCTCGCTGAATGATTATGACATCTTGGCAGATGCCATACTGGACATTATGTGGCTCCAATCATTATCATTATGACGTTTCTTTTCGGGAGGAGAATTGATTCAAACCGTTTTGAAAGGAGAATTGAACCGATCTGAGAAAAAAAAGAAGTTAAACAATTGGATGAGTAGATATATCTATTTTAAAAAGGGTGAGCAAAGGCTATATTTAATTATTTATACACAAATGTTTGAATAATTTGGTTCTTTCTCTTGGTACATGACACCAAACAAACTTAAAAAGAGACACCAAACAAACTTAAAAGTAGGATGGTGGGTGGGTTGAACAAGTATTGGGTGGGTTGGGCGGGTCTTGGGTTGGTTATGAATAAAGGAGTTAATAGTGAGTCAATGATTCATTATCAATCTATTTATGATAGGTCATAAAAGAATTGAGTTTTAAATGAGCTAGTTAACATACCCAACCCAATTACCCAAATATTTTTAGATGCAAAATTATCATATTATTTTAATTGTTGAATACCAAAAAAATTATTAAAAAATGTTTTTATATTAAATTTATTAATTTTTTGGTCTCAATGGTTACAATTTTTTCCCTTTTATTTTGTTATTATTTATTTAATTTAATTTAATTTTTTTTTAGGGAAAAAGTCAAATATACAACTTTCACAACCCAAAAAAAAAGAAAAAAGAAAGAAAGAGAGGAAACTGAGGAAAAAGAAAAGATGGGTAGTAACTCTTAACGTACCATTGATCATTGAATTAAATGGACACTCATATTTTACCTATTATTAACTTGCTCACTTAAATTTGGACACCAAAATAATTTAATTTTAGTGAACTGGTTTGGCCGGTTTAATAATTTTGGGCTTAAATTGCCACCCATTTAAAAGCAAAAGGTTTAATTCAGTTACACTTATTGTGGTTTGTTTAATCTTCAAGGACACCCTCTTATATTTGTAAAAATTTAGTCAGATCCATGTTAGACATTGTAGGCCGATAAAAACAAATAAATAAATATAATTACTAATTTACCCTTTTGTGTTTTCTAATATAAACTTAAGCAAACAAGGTTTTTTATAACTCAAGGTTAGCTTTATCTATTGAACCAAATGGTAGTAAAAATATACCATCTTTCAAGCCAACCACTTTCTCTCTCAAAGTGGTATGGAGGTGGACGAGATTCAAATGCTGGGATGTAACAAGATGAGTCAACAAAAGGGGGATGAGCTATACCCAGATGATGAAGAAGATGGAGAGGCCAAACGGATGAGGGGATAAATTGGCGGCGGAAGCGCGGGCCTTGGCCGGCTCTGTGGGTCGCCGACATTGTGGATTGTTAAGGTTTCTCGGGCTGTAGCCTGATCTCATCGTTTGGTCGTCACTGTCGATAGAGTCCAATCTCATCGATTAGTCGTCGTCGGAGCCAGAGCCCAAGAGAGAGTTGTAGAATTTCTGGGTTTTCGGGAGAGGGGCATCGCTGCTCATTGTCGACAGAGTCCAATCTCATCGATTGGTCGTCGCCGGAGCCCGAGCCCAATTGCAATCTGGGTTTTCGGTGGAGGGGCTTCGCTGCTAATATGGCTTTCTCTCTCTCTCTCTCTTTGATTTTGTATTTGCCTTGCACATATAAACCCTAATTTTCTATCTCTATTTGAATCTAAAATTAAAAGCTCTAATTTTATCAGCCCTAATATGAATTAATTTTTTCTTTTTTAATATTTTTATTTTAGTAAGTTTGCAAACTCTTATTCATGGTACCTTTTGGATACCTAATTTTTTTTTATCTCTATTTGAATCTAAAATTAAAAGCCCTAATATGAATTAATTTTCTCTTTTTGGATATTTTTATTTTAGTAAGTTTGCAAAATCCCTTATCAGCCCTAATATGAATTAATTTTCTCTTTTTTGATATTTTTATTTTAGTAAGTTTGCAAAATCTTATTATTGTAGCTTTTGAATACTGATCTTAGTGTTTAGCATTTAAATAAACAAAATCTTCTTCTTCTTGAGAAAAAATTACAGGATCCTCCCTTTTGAAATTACAAAACAAACAAAATCTTAAAATTTGGGCATTAAAATTTATTTTTTTAATTTATTAGTACAATTTGATTCATAGATGGTATATAACCTGTAACCAAACATAACCGTTGAGGAGCAATTTAGGTATTAAAATTTATTTTTTTGCGACAAAAAGTACCTCTGACCAGCTTTGACCATTGACCAAGGAGGAGGGAAACTAATGTGTATCAAAAAAAAATAGTGGGTTTGATTATATTTTTGCAAATGTTAGGGAGTCTCCTTGAAGATTGGATAAACTAGAGGGGGTGTAATTGAATTAAACCAAAAGCAAATAAACTTTATATATATATATATATATAATCCCAATACATAACACAACTAGGCCTGATCACGGTTTGGATTGGTTCGGTTTAGGGATAAAGATCAAGTCGAATCGGTCCCAACGGATTGGTGAAAATTGAAACCGAACCGATCCGTGGGGGTCTTCAATCCGAACCAAACCGATCCGTGAAATAACGGATCGGATCGGATCGGTTTTCACGGATTATGGCCCATTAACCGCTTGATACAACTACATTTGGCTTCTTTCAAGTCAGTATTTGAAATATAGATTTCTGATTCTAAATAATGCAATATACAAGAATGTAATTGGTATTGTTCATCTTTCCTTCTCTTTAATTTTCGCAGCAACCAAACAGAAAGATGAGGAAATTCAAGCATACAGGTAATATAGTTGCAGATCTACACCAAATTCACCAATAGCAAATGAAATTCAACATATGTAACACACACACACATATTTATATCTGTAACATATATATATGTATCTACAGATATAAATAAATGTATATATATTACTTGATATAAGAACGGCCATCATGATTTGATGATGGGATCAAATTGTCGGTGAGAGGAACGGCGGTGAGAGAAACAACGATGCCTTCGATGCCGCTGGAGAGTAGGAAAGCATTGCCGACTTCTGTAAAAGAATCTTGGTCGTATATTAAGAGGGCAGCACTGATAGTGAAGAGAGTTGGAATAGCTGTGAAACCCACATCATAGATCTAGAGAGAGAAAGTAGAAAGAGAGGGGATCGACGAATTTGATGGAGTTTTTACAGGAGTGGGAAAGCGAGCTCCGAGGTAAATGCCAGTGAGAGAGGTCATGGACTTGAAGTATGTAACGCCAGGAAGAGAGAAAAGGCTGAGTGAGGCGCGGCTGTAACGAAATGAGATGGGAGCTAGGGTTATTTGGGAGATTATATATATATATATATATTACTAACGGTTCGGATTGGTTTGGTTAACGATTCTGATCGGTTTTTCAGGATCCAATCCGTTAACCGAACGGCGAATACCAGATTGCAAATTTATCAAACCATCACCGAACCATGAGATCTGAAAACTGAACCAAACCACACGGATCAGATTGGTTCGGACCAGATTGTCGAATTGACAGATTATTTGCTCACCCCTAAACACAACACAAGAACTCCAAACTACAAGTTTGGAGATTAAAGCAGCAGCCAAGAGGACTTGAGATAGTTCCCATACAAAGACCCCAAAATAAAATTAAAAAAAGCAAATCCGACAACAACAACATCAAACAACACAAATACCCTTAATACCCTTATACACAGTACTCTTATTTCTTCAAACACTACTTCTTCAACGACCACCACCCTTCCACCACCGCTCTGCACTTCTTAATTCAACCACCACCATCCTCTACTACAAATCAGCCCCCCTCACGGCAGAAGCCGAGGATGATTCCCCAGTTCCCATTAAACGTTTCTTATTGTTCTTCATCCAAACCTTGAACACTTGAGCTGTGATCTCAAGCTCCGAACAAAACCGGCGAATTTCTTCGCCGTGTTTTCTCTTCAGAGTACTCCACCCCAGCCTCTCCGCCATCTCTCTCATTCGCTCTTTCTGCCACGACATAAGCTTAGTTCTCCTCCTCTTCCTCAAACCACCCATGAACCCCTCCTCCATCTCCCCTCCACCAAGCGCCTCGGATTCTACCTCCGGTGCAGCAACCGGTGGTTGTGGCGGCGGCGGCGGCGGCAGTGGTGGTGGAGGAGTAGCAATGGTGCGACCGTGCGGATGATGGGTACAACCCGTGCCATGCATGGGCTGAGGTGGACAACAGGGCCAACAGGCTCCTCCTTCCGGTGGAAGCTCCGGTGACAGCCGCAGGTGGCGCAAAGTAGAGCCGCCGGAGTTCCCTCCTCACCACCCTTGAGAAACTCAAGGCAGCCATCCACGGCGTGGGAACCTCTCTGCAACCCGTGGTTGCGCTGACACTCTCTGTAGCAGCCACCATTGTTAGTTGCCATGAGAGAGAGATGTTTGCATGATTTTGCCAGTTTAGCTAAATTGTCATTATATAGTTTTTTTTTTTGCAACGGTGAGCTGAACAAGACAAAACTATAATTAGTCCAATTAATATTATCTTATATATATATATATATATATAT